TGACCACCAGGGGGAAGATGCTCAACACAGGAGCTGCCCCTGGTGGTTGCGCGCTCCCACAGGGGAAGTATCACTCAGCTAGAAGCCGGGCTCATGGTTGGTGAGCACAGTGGTAGTGGTAGGAGCCTCTTCCACCTCTGCTGCAGGTGGACGGTAAGGAGCTAGGGATCCAGGACTGCAAGAGGGTGCAAGCCGAGCTAAGGGACAACCCCACCCCTGTGCATGAAGTTTCATGCACCGGGCCTCTAGTTAATTATAATGTGCAAAATCCTCCAGTCTTTCTCAGCAGCTTAATCCAAAGATAACTGCACCTTATAGTCAGAAGTTTTCTTTAAGTCTTATTGAAATCCTTTATTCTAAGATTTGAAACAATCCAGTGGAATAGTAATAAGAAGGTAGCTTCATATAATTACTTGATGTCCCAATATGTGAAGAAAGAGCATTTTATTTTTGGTAAGTCTCTCTGGGTTTTTCTTACCATCCTTACCCAGTTTTCACCAGTCCTCACCACTCATGGAGCAACCTAGACTTCTTGTCAAAGTAAAGATATCAAGCCCTGAACCCTGAAAGGTGAGATAATATTACTTCAGCTCACCAAATACCACTTACTACCCTAGGAATAAACTCCATAACTCAGAGGAATAAATCTCTAATGACAGGATTTAAGCTGATAAAATGTTTAGTAAGCCCACATTTTTGTTATGTCTCTCAATAGTCCCTCTTCCTTTTCAAGTTTATATTTTGCCTATTTAAACTTTCAATTATAAACATGATTAAAATTTCCAGGGTGCAGTAATTTTTATGTAATTTTTACAATATAGCTAAATATTGTAAGGAAATTATTTGATTGACTTCACTCTCCCCACCCCTGAAAAACCCAGAAGGCTGATGATTGCCTTCACTGTTTTTTGTTATTGTTTTGTGAGATAGAGGTTGTAAAAATTCCAAGAAGGAATGTGAAACTTCTCATCAAAAAAGCATCTCATCCAAAGGGAATCATCAGGTTGGAAGAAGGTGTGGCATGATGGACTTTAACCTTTGAGTCATACATAACACTACACCTCAAATTTTTAAAAGATCACCCCTAGTTTAATGTCCTGTTGTCATTAGTTGACATCTCAAAAGCAACCATTAACTGGAAGTCCATGTGATCAAACTTTATTTAAGTTAAATTGCAAGTAAATGTGTTATTTTCATTTGTTTCTAATTTTTTCTTCTTTAAAAATTTTTGTAACAAGTGTAAATAAGAGTTTATCAACAGTGTCATTAACACTTTTGGTCAGGTAATTGGGGGTTGTGACCTGCACATTCTGAGATGTTGAGCAGGATCCCTAGCCTCTATGCACTGAAAGCTCATAGAACCTCTGTAGTCAGCATAGTAAAAACTATCTCCAGACATTGCTAAACTTCTTTTGGGAGGCAAATTTTCCCCTGTTGAAAAGCACTGATCTAAAGGAATACATTAGTAGAAATACTTGTGTCAATATGTCACTTTCAATGTGAAGTTCCTTTGCAGGACTATTTTAAAGCTTTTGTCAATTTAGAGAACAGATATTGGTGAAAGTGGGATGTTGTAATCAGTAGATAACACTTAGCAGACAATGATAAATTGCAGTATTTAACTGCGGGCTGTAAACAAATAAATTAGGGCACCACTGGCAATTCCCCTGCCTATAGAACTCCCATTCTTACCTCAGAATGAGGGCTACCTATGTGAGGATATCAGAGATAACTCATTCCAATATCTGGAGAGTGCTGTACATATACACCTCTTCCTCTAGGTACCATATAAAGGCAGCTTCTGGCCTACAGGGAGGGTGTAAATTCTTTAGCACTTCTGGCTTGTTATGTACTGGTATGGGGCAAGGACTGAGCTCTGCTCAATTACTCATAAAATTGAAATTTTAGCTAGCTTTGTTCTAAAATAATAAGGATGGTGGGAATATGAGCATTGTGACAATAGTGTCTGCTATAACCCTACTATCAGACTAAAGGACCTGCATGAGGGGGTTTGAAAATGAATAAGAACAAAGAGACAAGCAAAAGAATAGCTTAAATGGTCACAGAGTAAAAATCCTAAGTGGAAGAATTGCTTAACAGCAGAATGACACCTCATCTTCTGAACCTAAAAAGATGGCTGCAAATATAGATAGGTTTATGGCTTCTTTGTTTTCTTGGTAACCTCTGAGAGAAGGTCATCCCTAGAAAGTGATGATCTCTAATAAGTTAGGAAAGCAAAGTTTATAACAGTCAAGAAAAATGGGAGACAGTAGCATTTAAGAGCTTAACTGAGATAAAAATCCAAAATTGTGTGTTGGCACCAATTCTGTGGGCTGGTGGGTCATCAATAGTACTCAGTAGATGTAATACAGGGGCAGGAAATGAAAATTGAAAATTCATCCATTGAATGAGTTAATGTATACTGAATGACAAATATGTTTCAGGCTCTGCATGCTACAGGAAAAAAAAAAAAATACCAGAAAAATTCTAAATAGACAAAATTCTATGATTTGTAGATCTCATATTCTGGAGGAAAAAATAAATAAAATTTATTAATAAAATTTTAGTATATTATAGTATATTAGTCATAAGCACAGAGAATGGGGGTAGGGAGTGCTGGAGCTAGAGAGGAGTGTCATTTTATTTTATTTTTTATTTTTTTAAATATATTTTATTAATTTTTTTACAGAGAGGAAGAGAGTGGGAAAGTTAGAAACATCGATGAGAGAGAGACATTGATCAGCTGTCTCTTGCACACCCCTACTGGGAATGTGCCCTCAACCAATGTACAAGCCCTTGACTAGAATCGAACCTGGGACCTTTCAGTCTGCAGGCCGACGCTCTATCCACTGAGACACACCAGTTAGGGCATAGAGAGAAGTGTCATTTTAGATAGGGAATGTAGGCATGGCCTCTCTGCAAAGGTGTAGTTTAAAAATAACACTTGAAAGAGTGAAATATTGAACCATGTGGATATCTGGGATGCGTGTTCCAGGCATGGATCAAAGCAAGTGCAAAGGTCTTAAGACAGTTGTGTGCCTGGTGTGTTGAGGAATGGAAAGACTAGTGGCAATATGAGTAAGGGCTCAAGTGGTTTAAATGAAGGTCAGGGAGATAACAAGGGAGATAACAATGTTTGTATAAGGTCTTGTGGCCCATAGCTTTTAGGTTAATTCAGTGCTAGGTAAATTTGAGGAAAGATGAGGTCTGAGGAGTAGGGAGGGAATGGACTGAGAATGTTAGTGAAAATATATTTTAAATGAACATTGAGTCAGGAAGAAAAAGGGTCCAAGAATAAATAGATATTTGGGAGCCTTATCAAGAAAGGGAAGAAAATTTGGAATGAATGAATCATAGAAGGCAAAGGAGGAAAAAGTTTCTAGGTGCAAAATATATTTACTCAAGATAACTAATAGTTATCTAATATGTGGGATATGTTATATAAATTATTTCATTTTAACTTCCCATTCACCAGATGTGATAATAAATATTATTCGTCAAATTTTGTCGATGAGAAAATTGAGGCCTAGAGTGATTGAGCCACTTTCCAGTGGTAAAAGGAGGATTTGAACTCCATTAGTCTAATTTAGGCTCCTGTTCTTAACCAGTTGTATACAGACCAAGTGCTGCACAAGTTCCATGTATTATAAAGATGGGAACTGGGTGTTGAGAGGTCACTGGCGAATGTACATGGGAATGTAAACAGCACTTTGGTATAGTTTAGTGATTCCCAGTGCATGACAAGGAAGTGGAGGCAGCAGCTTTTGGACTGGAAAGACAGGGCGACTATGGAGAGTGACACCAAGATGATGTAAAATTGAAACAAAAAATATAAAAAAGGAAGGTGCTAGAAGAAAGTACGAATAAGATAAAAGTATGAGTCCAATAATTTATGAAACAAAGTCGGGGAACAAGCTTAAAGGGTTGGAATTAGCTTTGAAAGGGAAAACCCTGGTTTTATAGGAAAATACCTGAGTACAGGGAAGCAAATTGTGAATCCTAAGTCATAAAGCCAATTAAACAGTGTCTCAGGGACTAGAGTCCAAGTTTTCTGATTGTCAAGATAAGCCCTTTCCACTAGACCATCCAACTCCTCTTGCTGAATCATCGTCTCCTGGTTACTTATCCCCAATCCAAAGGGAGTTATCATAGTTAATGAATAAATGCAGTCTAGCAAAACCCACTGTACATGTGCAGGTCTACAGAAACACTAAGGACATCTTGACCTTTGAGTTTTCTTTTCAGTTTCCTCCCCCCTGCAGCTCCTTAGCACAGAGTACTGACTTTCCTGAACTCTAACTGCCTTCCAGGTACTGCAGGTTCCCATATTGATGCCAAGTAGGGACTCCGGTGGAGAGAACTGTCACCTTCAGGGAATTTCTAGCTGAATTAGGCTCCTCTAAGCCTTGAAATCAACATGTTTCTGGTAGGTAAATGAAGTACAGATGGGAAATCAAACCAGTGTGTGACTGGGCATGATTTAGAACAACTATTATTGATATGACAGATCCTAGCAGGCAACCTCATGAGAGCCTGAATTTTTGTTGCAATGCAAGTAGGAAAAATGAATAATTGTACTTTTGACTTTTGAATTTTCTATACCGTGACAGTGGTTATTGCAGTCATTATTTGGGCCATGCCTATTCTAGAGAGGTTTTTGATATAAGAAGTTATATTTTTGGGGAAACAAGCAATATTCAATATTTCATCAATGTATTTATTTTTTTATAATGAAGATTTTTTTTACTTGATATTAAATATAAATATTTAACTTTAGAGGAATTACAATGGTCTCTTTCTAACACTTACATCATCTTGAGTAAACATTTAAATTCTTGATTAATATTTAACTACAAGAAGTATACTCAGTTCAAGTGAAGGATCAGTATCAGGATTCAGGCTGAGTTGCCTTTATTAGAATCCAGGCTCCAAGAAGAAACCCCAAGAAGTTATATACTGGATATAATAAGAAAGTGGGAGCCATACCTGAGCTATAGAGAATGTGGACCGGGTATAGGATCTTAATCTTCTCTTCTCTTCTTACAGAAATTTGGATGGAGAGACAGTACGTATCTCAGAGACAAGTGGACCAGGAAGGAGCTTTCACAAGGAATCACACCGTTTTGGAAGGTACTCGATTCAAAAGAGCCATTTTCAAAGGGCAGTACTGTAGAAGTTTTGGTTGTTGTGAAGACAGAGATGATGACTGTGTCACTCAGTTCTATGAGGCGAATGCACTGTGTTACTGTGATAAATTCTGTGAAAGGGACATTCCTGATTGCTGTCCTGATTACAAGTCATTTTGCCATGAAGAGAAAGAATGGCCTCCTCACTCAGAAGGTAGGTGTTTGGTAATGTGTTTAAGGTTGGTATCCGGAAGGTAGGCTTTAGTAATATGTTTAAGCATTCTACTAGTTTATAACTAGATCTGTCTCTTTCTCTTCTCCTCCTTCCTTCTTTCCCTCCCTTCTTTCCTTCTTTAAGATAAAATAGGAATGAATATTGTGATAACTAAAATAATTTTTTTTTGGATTGTTAAAGTGCTTTGGTTTATATGTGGAGTATCTGAACCATACTACCAGTTATAAGAAAGTTCTGGTGTGACGGTCATGAATGCTGGTCTGAATCCTGTTTTGAAATACACTCTACTTACATAAGTTATGGCAAACACTTTTTTCTTTCTTTGTAAATTTTCAACAGGACTCTCAAGATTTCTTGAAGGTAACCTCTTAGAGGATATCATGAAAGTCACATAATTATCTGCAGATTCATGTACTATTTTACTTACTATTTCATGGGATTAAAGGACCTCTTACCATTAGAATTTGTGCTATTTCTGGGGATGGAGCCTACAACCGGGCATGTGCCCTTGGCCAGAATCAAACCTGGGACCCTTCAGCCTGTAGGCTGATGCTCTAACCACTGAGAAAAACTGGCTAGGGCCAATCTGGTACTTTTAAACTATTAAAAACAAATGAGGGCTTCATATAGGGTAAATGTAAAAGAGAGAAACATCCATCAGCTGCCTCCTGCACAGCCCATACTGGGGATGTGTCCGCAATCCAGGTACATGCCTTTGACCGGAATTGAACTTGGGACCTTTCAGTCCACAGGCCGACGCTCTATCCACTGAGCCACACTGGTTAGGGTGAGTCCTCAGTTCTTCAGATCAGATCCCTTCTTTGCATTCCTCAAGTCTCAACTTAAATGTCTTCCTTTGTTGCTCCCTCCCTCAGGCTAAATGTACATATAATTTTATATATTAGCTATATTCTGATATAGTTTCTTACAGCACTCTAAATGTTTCCTTCAGAGACATTATCAACATTTGCAATTGTGTAGTGACTTTGTTAAATATTTTATACACGCACACTCCAACTTGACTGATACTTCAACAAGAGTAAGATCTTGCCTTTTTTCCTCCCCATTGTTGCCCAGAACTAAATGCCATTGCTGGCACAGTGGGGACATTCAATGAGTAATTTTTTATATATAACTAATTCTCCTACTAGTAGAGTATCTTCCACTTTTTAGGATTAAATAAATGTTTGCTGAACTGTTTGCTGATAAAGGCAAAGGCTTGGGATAAATGTCAATTCTATGGAAATCTTACCTAATAAAAGAGTATTATGCAAAGTAGCCATCACTCTGCTACACCCACAAGCCACGCCTGCCAGCCAATCAGAGTGAGTATGCAAATAAACCCAATGAAGATGGCTAGAGCCACAGAGAGCAGTAGGGAGACTTGGGTTTCCCAGGCAATGAAGGAAGCCAAGCTTTCTTCCTGCCCTTGCTAGCCTAGGTCTCCACTCAAGGTTACAACGTTTCAATTATAGAAGGTAAACAAATCTAAACAGAAATGGCTGCTGGTCACAGAGCAAATAGGAGGCTTGGCTCCGCTCCAGGTTATAAAGTTTCAATTGTAGAAGGTAAATAAATTCCAGATACCAGGGCTTGGGTCTTCAGGGGGCATGGTTGGCCTACAAACCACCACAGGCTCCTTGCCCAGGCTACCCTACACCCTAAGAGAACCCTCACCCTAATCCAGGACCCCTTCAGGGCAAACCAGCTGGCCCTGTGCATCAGGCCTCTATTCTATCTAATAAAAGAGTAATAGGCAGATAGACCATCACTCCAACACACAAGATGGCTGCCCCATGTGGTCAAAGATCCTGCCCCTATGTGGACACAAGATGGCCACCATAAGATGGCCAGCAGGTGAGGACAGTTGGGAGGCACCAGGCCTGCAAGGGAGAGCAGATGAAAGGGACCAGGCCTGCAAGGAAGGGCAGTTGGAGGCGATCAACCCTGCAGGGGAGGGCAATTAGGGATGATCAGGCTGGCAGAGGTGGGAAGTTGGGGGCAAACAGTTGGGCAGGGGAGCATTTAGACATCAATCAGGCTGGCATGGGAGCGGTTAGGGAGTGATCAGGCTGGCAGGCACCCTCTCCAATCTGGGACCCCACCAGGATCGGGCCTAAATGGGCAGTCAGACACCCCTCTCACAATCCAGGACTGCTGGCTCCCAACTGCTTGCCTGCCTGCCTTCCTGACTGCCCCTAACCGCTTCTGCCTGCCAGCCTGATCATCCCTTAACCACTCCCATGCCAGCCTGATTGATTCCAGTCAAGGGCATGTACCTTGATTGCAGACAGATCTACAGTAGAGGCTGTGCAGGAGGCAGTTGATCGATGTTTCTCTCTCATCAATGTTTCTAACTCTCAATGCCTCTTCCTTCCTCTCTGTAAAAAAAATCAATAAAATATATTTAAAAAAAACAAAAAACAAAACAAAAACAAAACTGAGGGCTGTTTCAGATCTGAAACTGAAGAGCTTTGTTCAGGAACTGAAAGTAGACCATCGTTTCTGGGAATGATTACTAAAGGGTTGAGGCTGACATGAGATGGGATTATCGAGATGAATTGAGGTCAGATTATGAGAGCATTTATAGATCATATTAAGGATTTAAGAATTTGTTTTGTTTGAGAACTCAGGGAAAGAGGTTAAGTAGGAATAAGGTTGGCTTCATGGGTGCTGAGTATAATATATATTAGTTGCGGTACTTTTGAGTTTTTCTTATTTGGGACATAGAGACTCGTTAGAAAAGTAATTGCAGCTTCTTCAATGTTCATTTTTGCTTGAGAGCTAGAATTTTGCTAAGACTTTAATTTAAGATTATATTTTATGTAGAATTTATGTAGGTACAGTTTTTATTGCATTCATTATGGAGGGAAGCAATTAATCATTTTATTTAGTAGCAAAAAGTTCACATTAGACTATAATTACTCTCATGAAGGTAATTTTTTTTCTTTTGTTTTATCTTGCTTATGGAAGTAACTGGTTGAAAGAAAATACTCCTACACAACATTGAAAAATTGTGCAAAATTAAAATGAAAATACAATAGTATATTATATAATTTTGCATGTATACAGTCACTTTCCTCTAAGATGTGCTGTTAATTTGGTGATCTATTAAATAATGTTTTTTTTTTCAGTCGTCTAGTAAAATGGTATTGTCTAGTTCTATGTACCATACCTATTCTAGGAGTTCATTTTAAACCAGTGACTTAAAACTATGTACATTATTTTGAGAATTTTTTTAAAATCACATCGCTTTTGTATAAACTGGAAGTAGGGCATATCCATAAATATCTTCCTTCTGTGTTTTTTTCCTCCTCTCTGATGGTAACTTCCAGTAATTGGAGGATTTCAAATGTCAACTATAGAAAACAAGTGATAGAGTTTGGAATAGAACCAGAGTGGATTTTGTAGACAGAATCTTTTGGTGTAGCAGATCTTCAGGAAAGAGTCTAGTATACCATCTGTTGTGAGCAGACTGAAGCTAATTTGATTACAACCAATGCGTGTTCATGTTGGTAAAAAAGTGTGTAAGTCACTGACACATTTGAATTGGATGAGGGTTATTTATTCCTTCATAAGCACCTTAACCACATTATAATGAAAATAAATCAGATGAAATGTTGTCTGTCATACATACTGATATTTACAAAAATATATGTGTTTTTGTTGTTGTTAATGCTCACTGGAGAAAATTTTTTCCCATTGATTTTTAGAGAGCATGGAAGGGAGGGAGGGAGGAGAGAGAGAGAGAGAGAGAGAGAGAGAGAGAGAGAGAGAGAGAGAGAGAGAGAGAGAAAGAGAGGTGAGAGATAGATATGGATTAGCTACTTCCTGCACTCAGCCTGACCAACCACTGAAAACACTAACACTGAGACTAACTGGCTAGGGCAGTGATCAGCAAACTCATTAGTCAACAGAGCCAAATATCAACAGTACAATGATTAAAATTTCTTTTGAGAGCCAAATTTTTTAAACTTAAACTATATAAGTAGGTACATTGTTACTAATTTAATTAGGGCACTCCTTATCTGGCCTTTGCTAAAAACTCAAGGTGCCAAAGAGCTGCTTGTGGCTCAGGAACCGCAGTTTGCTGACTACTGAGCTAAGGCACAAAAAAATATGTTGGTAAGGAGACATAAATCACTTGATACAACCTCTGTAAGCTATATGAGTCACCGTCCTTTAAGATGTTCTGAAATCTACCTTCCGTGAAAATTAGCGGCACATGTTATAATATTACAGAGGTAGGACTCTGTTATCCTTATAGTAGATGTCAGGGAATGAGAAATTCTTCTACCAGTAGACGGAAACAACCTTTTAGAGATCAATTACAGAGAACCAGTCTAAGAGTACAGGCTTTTGACCTTAAGAGATACATATAAATTATGAGGTATAGGAGTAGAATGTAACTTTAATATATTTTATGTAATCTATATAAATTGAATGCTATTAATTTAACCAGTAAGAGCTGATTATTTATATCCATTATGCTGATTAACGAGCCACTAGTTTTACCAATGAAAGCCCATTTCTGACATTCATTATTCTGACACTCTAGTATTCATCAATACTAGAGTAATGGTGGCACTTGTAGTAGCTGCCCTGGAATCAGGCCTTTCAGAATGACCACTGCTGGGGTGTGGAATCCTGATTAGAGCAGTAACTTCATTCCCTAATGTGAAGTTTAGACCTTCATAGCATTATAACACATTAGGATGAATTGTTTTAAAATAAATTACAGACATAATAGACCAATTGTTTCATTTTCCAAATATTTTATATTAGTGGCTGTTAAAATTGCAAATCTCCCTTAATTTCAGGAGTCATTATTTTGTGTGTGTGTCAAAATGCTATATGTGAAACCAATTTAATTAACTCACTATGTGGTGTTTTGTACATATTTCACTGTGAAAATAATGCCACCAGGAATTGTCTTATTTTTCTATCATCATAATTTCCAACCTACTTCCATCTGGGTTACTGCTCACTTTGACTTCTGAATCCCATACTCAGGTGACTATTGACTTCTGAATCCCATACTCACGTGACTATTTTTAAGATCTTCACCCTTGCAATTACCTTTCCTTCTTCTTCTCTATATCTCTCCCTTTTGTCCCCCTCTCTAATAAAGCATTATTTCCCTCCTTCCATCCTGATCAACTATCAATTTAAAAAAAACTTTTTGTATCTCCCAACTTTGTAAAAAATACCCACAAACCTTTTATTCCATTTCCTTGATCAGCTACTCTCCCATTTCCTTTTTCCAAAACAAATAAAAACAACATCAACAAACAAAACCTTTTGCTTCTTGACTTCTAATTCTCTTACCAAGCCATTCCTACAAGATTTCATTTCCTGCTACTTCAATGAAATCTCTCTTGGCAAGATTATTGACCCTTTCAGATTACTAAATGCAATACTCAGTTGTCTAGTATAATTTTCTTGACCTCCACTATTCTACACAATTGACCACTTATGCTTGTATGAAATACTTTCTTTTCTTGCTTTCCAAGATGAAACTCCCTCCTGAATTTTCTACCTCCTCATAGGCCACTCCTTCCCAGTTTCCTCTTCTGAATGTTTGTTGGCTGGAGTGTTTTAAAACTCTTTCTCTACCTATATACAATCTTTCAAATGGGCTCTTATTTTACATTAAGGCTTTAAAAATATGTATGTTGTTGTATCTCAAACTCATGCTTCAGTCTTGACTTTACTCTGAATTTTCATCAACTACTCTACTTGACATTCTCCAATAGGATGTCTAACTTTGATTTAATTCAAACCTAAAACAGGCAAAGCAGAACTTTGGATTTCTTGCCACAAGCCTATTCCTTACTTTAATAACAGCTTCACTGTCCCTGTATTGCTAAAGGCAAAATCCTAGTGGAACACCATTGATTCCTCTTCTTTTTTATTCCCCAAACTCAATCCATGTTCCATTTGCTTTACCTCTAAATTATGCCTCTTTACTTTTCTCCATTCTATCATGCAATCCATCCATTTCTGGGAACCCAACCCCAGCTAGTATAGGGGAGTAAGGTGGGCAGAGGCATTTTGGGTAGGATCTTATAAGTTACTGTAAAAATTTGGCTTTATTCTAAAATGATGCAGTAAAGTTCTCCCTTCAGAACCTTATGAGTACTGTTCCCTTTTTCTACATAACTGGTATGTTGGACAAGTAAGATTCCTGGGGGATGGTAAAAGATCATATTTGAGTTAACCACCATTCTCTCTATAAAACTTATCAGAGAAGTACTTCCCTTGACTTTGAATTAATGTGAATCATTGCATGAATTTTCTGTTGCTCTTAGATAATAGAAAGTTTTAGGATCCTTTTAAGTTAAAAACATAGTGTACATTCACTTATTAAAAGTGTGTAATTGTGGGTAACAATTAAAACTTTGAATTTAATTTAAAGTTGAATCTTTCTCCTCTTCTTTGCTATATCAAGAAACCAGGACAGAAGTAGTTTCCTTCCCTTTCCCTATATTATGAAATGCCAAAAATCCATGGGAAAGAAGTGAATGGATGTCTTTATAAAGAGATTTTAGATTCTTTCCTTAAGCAAAATATTGGGCTGTGAAAACACAATATATACTGATGAATGGCAGTTGTGAAATGTTTCCTACAAAATAACTTTTTGAAGAAAAAAAAATAGAGGATAGTTATTTTCATAAGTGGCTTTGGTGATATTATGGCTGGTAGTTATAACAAATATTAAAATGTTTTCTAAACATGTAGATTTTTCTCTAAAATTGGATGACTAAAAAGTTAAAATTCATTTTGTTTAATTAGGGGCCATTGATGTGATCTATTAATGACATGTTTCTGTCAAAAAGTTTTTATGTGTGAAGTAGTTTGATTTTTGCTGCTTTGCTAAGAAAGCATGAATTTTAAATTTGTATAAATTTCTAGAGGTTTGGTGGATGAAATTCATGCACAGGTAGGTTTCCTAGGCCTGTCTGGCAATCAACTGGTGGGGTGATCGATGGGTGGAGGGGGCACTGGCACCCACCTTGGCCAGCCTGAAGCCACCCCCTTGCCAGTCTCATCCCCTGATTGCCTTGCCACTGCCAGTTGCTTCCCTCTCTGGGGCAACTGGTGAGGAGTTGGGGGGGGGGGGGTGGGTCAGCAACTGTCACCCATCTTGACTGACCTGGGACCTGCGGGCTGGGGGCAGCTCTGGCATTGAGCATCTGCCCCCTGGTGGTCAGTGCACATAATAGTGACGAGTCTTTCCACTGATTGTTCTGCCATTCAGTTGATTTTCATATTGGGATTTATTATATAAGATTTTCTCAAAAGAGATTTAATATATAACCAGAATACTATTTTCACAATATCTTAATGGTGGTTTTTATATGATGATAGTTCCCCATTGATCTCTTTTAAGTAGTTTATATATGTTAGTAAACTAGCTACCATGTTTCCCCGAAAATAAGACATCCTCCAAAAAGACCTAGCGCATGGAAACATAAGAAATCCCCTGAAAATAAGACCTAGTGCAACTTTGGGAGAAAAAATTAATATAAGACACTGTCTTATTTTCGGGGAAACAGGGTAACAAGTAGCTAACAAGAAAAAAAAAAAAAAAAAAACAGTGGATTTGAAACATAAATAGCAGCACTCTTATTAGTTTCATGAAATTTCTCCTGATCTAAATCTTAAAGAAAAAATAGAATTTTTTTTTGTCAGATGAATTCAATGAAATAGTTTTACATTTTGTCCAAAACTTTGAGCTCCTTACTCTAGTCACATGCAATTAGTCACATTTACATGAGACTTACATCTTTAAAAATGAGAAATGGCATAAGTCTATTTAAGTACTTTTATTGCTTACCTGTTAAGACATAGTGTTGTTATTGTTTTTTAGTATGGTTAGTGATTAGTTTCCAAGCTTGATAATCTAGTTTCCAAGCTTCACAAATCCTCTCTGTTGGAATATAATATGCTGTGTAAAGATAAAAGCTCCTGGAGTAAGCCCAGAAGAATTTGATACATAAAACTTGACACAAACCAGATGTGAATTACCATCAGGTTAGCACCACATATTTTTGCATAATTGAAAAACTAAACACAATTGTAGATTACCTGTTGTGTGGAGACACTTTATTGCCCAATTTGGAATTTTCATTTGTTTACATTATTTTGACAGGTTGCCTCAGAGATGGTCGACATTATGAAGAAGGATCAGCAATTAAAGAAAACTGCAACTCCTGGTAATGGATTTAAGTGGCACTGAACTGAATTCTACTGTGCGTTTCTTCAAATAAAAGGAACATCTGTGAAACAAAATTATGTTCTATCTAGAAAGAATCATAAGTAATAGGATATCGCATATCTCCCATAGTTTGTATAAGCATATTTAATTTTAATGAATGTTAAAAATTCTTATCATGAATATATTTTATATTGCTTGAGTTTGATGTTCATGACAGTGGGCCTTCATAATACAGCAGGCCTGCATTATATATATCTCTTAATTATAAACATTCTGATACGTCTTATGCCTTAAGAACTCTGGTTACTAATTTTGTAAACGGACTCCATTAAGGTCAGGCCAGCTTTGTAACTTTTATATCTTTGCAGCACATGTTCAGGTCAGCAATGGAAATGTTCCCAGCATGTATGCCTCATGCAACCAGAATTAATTGAACATGTCAATAATGGAGACTATGGGTGAGTGAAATCTTGCTTTATAGGCTTTTGGCACTCCCAGTAACCTTTCAGATTGCAGGCAATGTGTTTTCTATTATTATTTCTAAAAATAGTCATTTCAAAAGAAAGAAATGGGAAGAGAGGTTGAAAGGCATGTAAAATTGGGCTGCATATAAGGAAGTATTAAGTAATTAAAAATTAAAATGTACAAAAAAGAAATATAGAGCATGGTTTTAAATTGTGTAGAAAGGAGCAGGGTGTGAGCAAGGAGTGTAGGGAGACCTTTAGTTTAGATAAGGATTCAGGCAAAGCCAGGAAGTAGACATAATTTATTCATGATACTATCTTTCCTCTAGGCTGCTTCCCTGCCCCAGCTATCACATGCTCAGCTCTCCTGGGAAGTCTAGCCTTATGAAGTCAGTGTTAGATTTTTTTTTTTTTTTAATTCTCACCTGAGGATGTTTTTTTTCCCCATTGCTTTTGGAGAGTGGAGGGAGGAGAGAGAGGAAGAGTAGGAGAGGAAGAGAGAAAAAAAAATCAATGTGCAAGAGACACATCTATTGGTTGTCTTCTGCATGAACCCTAACCAGGATTAGGGATTGAACTTGCAACCCAGGTATATGCCTTTGACCAGGAATTGAACCCCAAACCATTTTGTGGGGGCCAATGGACAGGGCTATATCTTGATGATCCCCAAATAATCCATAGACAGTTTCACTGACCTGCTGATATCTAGTCTATTTCACTTACAGTTGAGTCAAAAGATAGATTGAGCCTTCTTACTAAAATGAAAGATAGGGCTGAATGACACACATAGGAAATAACTGTTTGATGTTCTTCGAAAGATTAATAAATTAGGTGGCTTTTCCACTTACAAAGAGGAAATTAAGAAGTAGGTGCTAACATCAGCTTCCTTTATGGAACTGAAAGGAAGAGGAATAGGCTGGTCAATGTCTGTCTTGGGATTTCTCCACTGCCACTGATCAAATCTCTATATACCCCTTTTTCTCCACATCCTCTCCAGCACTTGTGGTTTGTTGATTTGTTGATGATAGCCATTATGACAGGTGTGAGGTGGCACCTCTTTGTTTTAATTTGCATTTCTTGGATGATTAGTGACTTTGAGCATGTTTTCATGTCTCTTGCCCATTTTTTTTTTTTTTTTAAATTGGGTTATCTTCCTTTTGTTAAGTTGTACGTGTTCCCTTTAAATTTTGGAGATTAAACTCTTATTTGAGATAGCATTGGCAAATATGTTCTCTCATGCAATGGGCTTTCTTTTAGTTTTGTCGATGGTTTATTTTATTATGCAGAAGCTTTTTATTTTGATGTAGTCTCATTTGTTATTTTCTCCTTGGTTTCCATTGCCCTAGGAGCTGTATTGGTAAGGATATTGCTATGACATATGTCTGATATTTTGCTGCCTATGGAGTCTTCTAAGATTTTTATGGTTTCCCATCTTACATTTAAGTCCTTTAACCATTTTTAGTTTATTTTTAAGTATAGTGTAAGTTAGTGATCTAATTTCTTTTTTTGCATGTATCTGACCAATTTTCCCAGCACCTTTATTGAAGAGACTATCTTGACTCCATTGTATGCTGTGGGTTGATTTCTGGGTTCTGTTCTGTTCCATTAGTCTATATATCTGTTCTGCCTGTGGACTGAAAGGTCCCAGGTTTGATTCTGGTCAAGGGCATGTACATTGGTTGCGGGCACATTCCTGGTAGGGGGTGTGCAGGAGGCAGCTGGTCAGTGTTTCTCTCTCATCGATATTTCTGACTGTCTATCCTTCTCCCTTCCTCTCTATAAAAAAATCAATAAAATATATTAAAAACAAACAAACAAACAAAAAAACCCCAAAAACATTCATTTAACTCAGTGACCTAGTTCACACAGACACATACACACACACACACACCTAGATGTTTATAAACAGTACTTACCTGTAGACTCATTGTGTGCAGTAAATTCTAATATTTCCTATTATTTCTCCATTCTATTTTATTTTTTAAAATACTAACCCCTGCTCATTAAAATTAGAGATTAAATAAATGGTCCACAATGTCTCTGAATGTATAGAAACTACTAGTGTAAAGCACCAAAACATACTTTACTGATGTTGTGATTTTGCCTAAGGCTTGTTCTGTTAGTCTCTTAAATAATGCTGCGATACCAAATATAGTCAGAAGTTTTCTTATTGAAATTCCTTGGGCGATGGAAATTGCACTTCACAATTATGATTTAAAGTTGCTTAAGGTTTTATGAACTAGCAGATCTTATAAAAGAAAAGCATTAACTTGCTAAGCATATTATTGAAAATTGAGTTTTATCTTCAATCATTCATAATAGCCTATCACATTATAAACAATTTGGTAATAAACACAACAGAAAAAAGTTTAGATTTAAGTACTGAAAATATATTGCCATCAATTTTCACATCATTCAAACAAGCAATGATTAAATTACTTTAATCTCTCTCATTTTTCATCTCCTAACATTCAGAAATCTTTGTTGTCATCAAATATCAATATTAGAACTCAAAAACAAAGCTTATTTTTCTATGTAATGGCACCAAATATGTCTCTAAAAAGAGACTCACTTTTCTTATTTAACTTCACATCAGTTGAATTTATGTTATTATAAATATTACTAATAAATTACTAATAATAACTAATACTGAGCACTTAACACAAATTAACTCACTTAACATGATAAAATATTTTAATATTTAAATAAAATATTTCAACAAAACTAGTATTGATATAAACTTTTAAATAATACCTATTTTCTCAATTTTTTATGGGTACTACTTTTTATGTGTTCAACTTCTTTTCAAATCTAAATTATAAATAGGATAGATTGCTGTATTTAATCTATATGTTTTATACATTCAAACTTCTATCTAAAATGCATTTAAAGGCATTTTTTTTCAAAACTGCACATATTGGCCTTATTATAATATTACCACTTAATCCCTATACAGTTTATAAATATTTTATATTCTTAAATTTAGTCTATATTATTACAGCCTTAGATTTCTCATATTGAAATATACCTAATTTAGGAAGAGTGTAGCAAATGCTTCACTACTAGAGTAAGCAATATTGCATCACTTATATAAAAATAAATCTAGCTTGCAATGATAGTTGTAATTCTGTGAGCTTTGCATCTGTATAACTTCTGCAATATAAATGAACATGTACTTATAAAAGTGTTATTATATAACCTATACATATTATTCTCTTTCCTTTGTAAGGCAGATGGACAGCCCAGAACTATAGTCAATTCTGGGGAATGACTTTAGAAGAAGGTTTCAAATATCGTCTTGGCACCTTGCCTCCCAGCCCCAAGCTTCTGAGCATGAATGAAATTACAGTAAGTGTTTACTCTGTTTACTCTCTTGGACTGTGTGTGTGTATGCAGGTGCATTTGTATGTGCATTTAAACCTATTTTAAATAATGAAAATAGTGAGTTCTGAGCTTTCAGTTATATTTTTGTCATAAAAATAAAAATCCTTTCCCAAAACGTTGGTTACATTTCTCAAAATTTCATTTAAAGTTTAGTAATATCAGTTAGATATAGTCTCCTGTCTCGAAGAGCAACTGTGCATTTATTTGCATTGCTAATGATTTCACAGAAAGTCGTGTTTCTAATTTTGGCTGGTCAGTGACCCAGTGCTTAAGAAAGGCAATAGTTATCCTTATTTCCTTTTTAAAAACAAACATAGTTATTTTGTGAATTTGTCTCTTGAATTATCTATCCATTATCACGTGAGGATGAATAAGTGTCAGTAACAGCAGCTATGTATGCTATAATGATTAACAAAGGTTTCTCCTCAAAAGTCCTCAACATTTCCCTTGAAAACACATCTTCAAATTTTGCCTGCTGCCTGACAAACTTATTGCGATTTCTGCTTTTCCTAACACTCTTATGTTTTGTACTATTATATTAATCTTCCATTGCATCTTTAAGAGGTGTTATTATCTGATAATGGGTATCTTGCATAAGTATGCTTCCACCTCTATAATTGTCACAGATTTCTAACTCCCAGAGCTATAGTTTTACCACCCTGTGGTACGGGATGTCTTTCAGGCACACACACATTGCGGTTGAGATGTTGATTGAACCAGGACAGCGCTGAGCTCCCAGGCTGTGGGCTGCGGCCTCTTCACTGTGCAGTAAAGGTACCAGGCTCGGGTTGCCTGGAAACTCTCAGCATCTCAGAGACTGCTGTTTGCTGTTAGATAAATTGTAAATCCACAGGTTTCTCATTAAACATTTAATGCGCTTTGCTTTTGGGAGATGTAATCCCCTGAGTTGTTATTTCAATTCAAATTCCGCTAGCAGGGCCTTCTAAATTATAACTAGTATCAGAAAAGATAGTAATAGCTGCCATTTATTGAATAGTCGTGTGTTAAGCACTCTTATAAGCACTTTCACACATCATCTCATCTAATTCCCTCAGCAGCTTGATGTAGTGGGTACTATAATTACCCACATTGTAAAGACAAGAAAATTGAGATCGAGAGCAGTTAAGTCACACTGAGATTGAGAAAAGTGAGAAGCCACCGAAAAATTACTTAAATTACAGAACCAAAGCATCTTCAAAGAACTGCCCTCAAAATAGTCCGAAGAGTTCCAGTAGAATCAGTAAGCTTTGTCCCGTTGAAGTTCAACATAGCAAAAAGCCTTTTAATCTTCGATCCAGTGCTGCTCAGTTTATAAAATGATCAGCTTAGCTGTATTTTTGGAATTTTCCTGTAATTGGTAAGGTATCAAATCTTTAGAGATGTGTCTCAGATTCATTAATTTTAGTGACCTAACCATGTCATGGATTATAAGAGGTGGCCCCCTGTCCCCCGAGCTCTTTTATTTCTTTCCATTTTTATCCCCATCTGGAAAAAAAAAAAAGAAGAATTATTTAGGAAAATAAAAAATTTCATCTTTATAAGGTTTGCTCTTCACCCTGCTTTTATTGAGCTCCCCAGTCACCCACATACTGTGTGTCTATATACTTTTTCTCTATATTATTTATAACATTTCCTTTTTAAGTGTTAATTTTTACAACTTGGAATATTTTATATTCTAGAGAAAATGAGGTACATTTCTTAAGTTGCCTCTCACCATAGCCTAGAAAAAGAAATTTAACTCTAAATCATTATTGGCTACAGAGATTTATTTGCATAAAAGTCATATATATATATATATATGCATAAAAGTCATATATAATGTGGAGGAGAGTGGTGATATATATATATCACCACTCTCCTCCACACTCTATGCGCCCCCACCAGGCCTTTACCGCACGGTTGTCTGTGTCCATGGCATGGGTTATGCATATAACTGGGGTGCTATTTAAATGAAAAACCTTAATGATTAGTAGTTTGGAAGAATGTAACTTCCCTAATGCTACAAATTAATGTACTACAGTAGCCTAGTAATTCCAGGAAAGCAATAAGGAAAATTTGAATGATCTATAAGATTACTATTACTCATTTATGATATAAGGTAAGGAAGTAGCTTTTTATTTCTAGGGCACAGTACTTTGAAGGCTGAGGGATTTTCAAAAGCTTTAAGCATTGGGAGTGTCCTAATATCTGATGATAAGATATAAGATGATAAGAAATGTAACAAGTACTTCCAGGAAGAACATGAGGTTAATATGAACAGAAGAACACTGGTAACCACAGGAAGAGCTTTAAAAAAATAGGTTAATCCTTAGCTTGGTGATTAAATATAAAATATCATCAATATATCAAATTGCCTCTGAGTAAACTGAAAGTGAATTATTTTTGTATGATTTTAAATAACTTCCCTCCACCCCCAACTCTTCTTCAAATTTTTATACCATTTTTAACATAAGATGGTCAGTATGTATAGTTAGGGTAAGCAGTTGACAATAGTGGTAATGATTTGCTGAGAAACTCCTTTGTATCCCCACCCCAAAACATCTCCCTTTCCTTGACCAAATTACATAGATACAAGTTGTGTTTCATATAATTCTCTTTTAATGCTGGGTGGGAAGGATAAGCCATGAGTCATACCTGGTTCCCATGAAAGCTCTTCTGTTTCCTGCCTGGTTTCCTGGATTCATTCCTTGGCTTATGTCACTCTTCCCAGAATGTGTTTGCAGAGGATGAGTAAGAGGAATACCAATAGGTGTTGTACAAAGAGTCCCAAAATCATACACATATGGAAAGTCTGTTTAATCTATAGGAATTAGTTGAATTGAAATGAATTTTTATAGAGTATGATTAATAATAGGAATAGAAATATATTGATTGTAGTGGATCAGAAACAGGTAATTTAAGGATTTGGGGAAGTCCTTCCTGGATGCCATTCCTAAATGAGGGCAGTTAAAAAAGAAGCATAGAAATCCTGCTGTTACAGAAAACTGAAGAAGAACAAAGCAATACCAGAGAGATGGAGTTACATTTATTACATGCAGGTTCAGAGGAAAATGTCTCTCAAATTCTGGGCCTTCACATGCAGAAATTCTCCTTATTTATATGATTTTACCTTCTTTGTCTCCCAAATATGAAGTGGTTCCAAGTTGCAAGTTCTTAAAGAGCCTGTATGTGCTGGGCTTTGAGACCTCAATCAGAGGCCTAGCCTGGCGCCAGCACTGATAACCTTGTCTGGGGAAGGGTTAATGGCCTTGCTGAAGTGGAGTAGTCTTAGCAAGCAATAATTTAAAGAGACCAATTAGCAGGGTTAAAATTTCAAACAGCAGTTTTTATATCAGATGGATGCTTCACTGTTTTCTCTGGATGTAAGCAGAATAGATGAAAAAAAGTAGAAAAGGGGAAAGAAAAAAGCCCTATAGCAGTGGTTCTCAACCTTTTTAATGCCGCAACCCTTTAATACAGTTCCTCATGTTGTGGTGACCCTCAACCATAAAATTATTTTCGTTGCTATTTTCTAACTGTAATTTGCTACTGTTAATAAATTATGATGTAAATATCTGTGTTTTCTGATCTTAGGCGACCCCACTAGTGGTTCTCAGGTTGAGAACCACTATTGTAGAGCCTAAGACCATCAGAAAACAGATATTTACATTAGATTCATAAGAGTAGCAAATTACAGTTATGAAGTAGCAACGAAAATAATTTTATGGTTGGGGGTCACCACAACATGATGAACTGTATTAAAGGGTCGCGGCATTAAAAAGGTTGAAAACCTTTACTGCCCTAGAGGGATCCTACCTAGACCACATAGCTTCTTGCTGTGTACAGAAGATCCTTCACCCACTTTAGGGTTATGTCTTATATCAGGTCAACAAATTTGGCTGATCAATTCATGCTTAAATTTTTCCTGAAATCATTATCTTGAGATTTTTCAAAGGCATGGCTTGATTGTACAGCTCTATTTGACATTGTCTACACTGTAAATGTTAAGAACAATGGAATGAGTCAGCATTCTATGCCAGTCTATTGAAACTTTAATTGTTGAATGGATAGACTCACAAAGGCATTGACTGGGAGTGGGCCTGCAGAAGAAGGATAGCTCCCCACAAGAACTTCAAATTCTGCTCACTGAGCCTTTTGTCTCCTTATGGTGCAAAGCAGGCTTATCACTATATCTTCCTTCTGGAGATTCACATTATTCATTAGTATGTTGAACACACTGAGAACCCTTATTCCAACATTTTTTTACCTAGTGTTTCCTAAATCCATGAGATCAGGGAACCTTATTGCTTTTTTGTTTGTTTGGTTTGTGCATAATAATTATTATTATTCCCTAAGGTTTAGGCTCCATAGTACACACTTTAGGAAATGCTCATTTAATCTAAAATACTGAAATAAGAATGCTAGGGAGAGCAGAGGTATATTCATATAGAGTTGGATACTCTCTGTTTTTCAGAAAGAAAACAATGGAGTCAACTAATTATTATGACTATATTGCAAAACTGGCATGAATGGAAGTCTTCTTGAGACATATCATAGTTGAAGTAATAGGCAGGCATAGGCCAGTGTGTATACCTGTGTGGCACCATTCCATATACTGTACAGCCACTGTGCTTGGGTCTCAGTCTGGCTCCTTCAGTTATTGCCTCAGTTTCCTCCTCTGTGAAATGGTGATAGCAGTAGTTCCTGACTCTTATGATGGTAAGAATTCCATGAAACGCTGAATGAGAAGTGCTCGGCACAGTACTTAGTAGTAAAGCACTAAAGAAATATTATATAATATATAAATAATTCTTTCTTGGATTAACCTTAGAAGAATACATAGTTCTAAAGTAGGTAAATTCTCTAAGGATTAAATGATCCACAGTTTCATCATTTGGAACATTTTACTTCATAAAGAACAGTGTAGTTCTGGATTTATCAGCCTTGATAGAGTTTACATATTACTGGTAAACCCGAAGTTCTAT